TCATGATTCACAGCAGCAGCACTAATAATCTGTTAAGAAATTTACCTGATCGGAAATTTACTTACGAAACATTAAAACATACATCAATTTAAATGCATCAGCATCCTAAAGAGTCCAGTGACCTCCGCACATCTTCTAAGATGGCATACATTAGCTTCAGCCGCTCGTAATTCAATAGTAACGGAATATTAACATCTTCTTGACCGTCATGACATCTTAGCGTGATGGAAGCTATTGCTTGTCGTAAGGGAGAGCATCTGCTGCTTGAGGTCACAATTCCTTCACAAAACACAGTCCCCTTTAAATAAAGTCCTCCCGGCGTAAAGGCTTCAAGATCGTTCTTCAGTCTCTGAAAAGACGCAGTTAAGGCACCAAAGGACCGCACGGCAGCTGCTGATAAACCGACGCGACTTAGACGCATTTCAATCTCTGCCTGTTCTAACGGGACACACTTTGCAGCAATGCAAAGCATCTGTTTCTCGCACCAAACAATCATCTCCTTCAAGGACACTTCAGAGATCTGAAATTCTTTGCACCATTTACTCACGTCTTCAGGAGAATAATGAGCGAGATGTCGTATAATCAGTTTTTCAACAAGAGCGTTTAAAAATTCCAGAAAACGCCGACTATCCAGCCCATTGATCAACTGGATAATTTCTTGCATTTTACCTAAACAATAACTCGATTTAAATACTGCCAACTGTTCAAAACAAGTTCACATTTAGTGAATAAAAAGAGGCAGAATTTAGCTGTGCAAGATGCAGCGATGCGAAGAACTACGACGATACGTTTACTCAATAAACTTATATACAGTACACAAACACAACATATATTACACAACTACTCCACAGGTATGAAAATAGTCAGGATTATGCAGGAGAGTCATGCGTCGATCGTCATTCACTACCGCTGCTGTACGTGCGTTTTCTCTTGGAAACCTGTTCATTACGATACGGCGAAATCGATCGCTTACTCGAGCTGGAAGTACTCAGAATATTAGTTCACTTACACTCGCACTAAAAGCAGTGCAAGGTAAAGCAGTAATAAAATGACCAACACGTAACGTAATTCAAACCGTCTGAAATAACTTCAATGAATGTAGCGAAAGCGTTTCAAAGCACGACGCTGCCCATTGTTAACAATCAGCAATTTTGCTACAAGCATGAGTATCATATACATTATACCTTTTGTGATTCCTTCTTTTCGGCGATCCATCGGAATCACTCCCGCCACGACGAGGAGAGTTCCCCCTGCTTCGAGGCCTTTCCTCGACCAGTCGTATAATGCGTCCATTAAGTTCCTTTCCGCTCAGTGTTTCAATGGCGTCTCGCATGCCCGATTCTGTTTCAAATTCAACGATGCTAAATACGTAAATCATCCTTGAATTAGACTCATCGTCGGTACCCCTCGTTGCGCTGAGGGAACACGTCGGTAAACGCGACTTCACCAGCGTCGCTCATAAAATCCTTAAGGTCCTGTAAATAAACAACTTGATTGCAAAAACAAACGAGCACCAACACATTCTACTGGTAAACAGAAAAACACCGCGAATTCCAGAAAAAAAATTACATACTTGAGTGCATATTGGAAACTGCTCTCTGAAAGAGTGATGGCTGAAACTATACATACTTCAAGCACTCACACACTCACATTACAGTGGTGTAGTAAGAGAGCGCTCAGCGCACAGCCGGAAGGCTAAGGATTCGAATCTGTCAAGTCCGCTTCTTTCTAGTCAATAGGAAAAAAAATAAACACCTGCATATTTCGGAAAAAGGCCTGGGAAAACGGGATCAAATGGCAGCAAGCACATGTGAAAGTACTGATAAAGCATTCATTCATGAATGAATGAAACTCAATGCTGTGCAAAACGATCATCAGAAACGAGTGCCAAAGTCATATCGGTTATGGAAGTGAACGAAACAACTGAATACTTTCATTTCCCTTTTACAGTTTCAGCATGAACAAATACACAAATGAAGAAAA